ACGGCGACCAGACAAACTCGATCACGGTTTAAGCGCGCCTCAGAAATTCCGGTTTCCCTTTCTTCGGCCTGGACAAAAAAGATCCTGCCGTGAACCTCTTCCTGCGGTCGTAACAAAACCCATCGCGCAGCCACTTACGACTGTCTGATAACGAAAAACTCCGTGGCCGGAGCTACTTGCGCGCATTTTTTCACCCCTGTTTTTTCTTTCTTACGTTTTGCTACTGGTTTTCCTTTTCCCGCGTCCGGATTTACGGGATCTCTCGAGAATTATATAGACAAGGATATATAGACAAGGATATTATTATATTATCTATATTATCTATATTATCTATATTATCTATATTATCTATATTATCTATATTATCTATATTATCTATATTATCTATATTATCTATATTATCTATATTATCTATATTATCTATATTATCTATATTATCTATATTATCTATATTATCTATATTATCTATATTATCTATATTATCTATATTATCTATATTATCTATATTATCTATATTATCTATATTATCTATATTATCTATATTATCTATATTATCTATATTATCTATATTATCTATATTATCTATATTATCTATATTATCTATATTATCTATATTATCTATATTATCTATATTATCTATATTATCTATATTATCTATATTATCTATATTATCTATATTATCTATATTATCTATATTATCTATATTATCTATATTATCTATATTATCTATATTATCTATATTATCTATATTATCTATATTATCTATATTATCTATATTATCTATATTATCTATATTATCTATATTATCTATATTATCTATATTATCTATATTATCTATATTATCTATATTATCTATATTATCTATGTTATCTATATTATATAGACAAGGATATTTATACATACACGTGGATATTTCGACCGTCTCATGGCATTTGTGGCTGGATCCGCTTAAATTTAGATTTAGCATCAATTTTGCACTCGGAATTTCGACTACTCTATGGTAACTAGTTTCGTTCAAATTCTTGTGCAGCGATTTTTGTATTAGGTATTTTTTAACATGTTCCTCTCGGGTCAACGACGATTCTTTCGTCACACCTAGTAATTCGCTGAATACAGTAATGTCTCCCTTATTGACGCTCAGATTGTCCACTAAATTGGATAATTTTGCAACAGGAGATACGATTATTCGAGCCTTGCGGCTCGTTTATAACTATAAAAATAAACCGCAAGGCTCGAATAATCGTATCTCCTCTTCCCATATTGTCCATTTTTGTGCGCAATCTGGGCGTCAATTAGAGAGACATTACTGTACCATTCTACAGAGACAACTTGAATGTTTAACTATTATTTGATTATTTATTTTATTATTATTGTATTTATTTCTCCTGCGTTTTTCGTTTGTTATATGTGTAGTATATCTTAATGTCGAGTGAACTATTTATTATTATTATTACTGATATTTATTATTATTATTATTACTGATATTTATCAGTAATAAAATTGTTAATTTTATAAAACGAGACCGTCTTTTCGACCCAACGTTTCAAGAAATATTAGAAACGTAGTCCAGTTGCAATACGTTCCGCCATTTTGACCGTTCCCTCGACATCGCGTGGAAGATCGTGCAGAGAGAAGAAGTTCCCATAAATAACGCGTTATTATCGCTATCTGGGAGCAGGAAGCTATCGTATGCTTATTGTCCTGACGCACGGATGCTGCTCGCAATCTATCCACCCTTCGGACAACAGTGTAAATAGATTGTTACGAAGGAGCCGTTTAAACGGCACCTAATGGCCCGTCAGATAAGATAATGCAATTTCCACGATCGACAGTGATTCCTCGAAAAGATGGCCGCCACCTAAACCGAGGGGGTGACACGACCTGCTCGATCCGAGGGATCCCGACGTAATTTCGGAGGGTGCGATCGCGCGCTAGGGGGATGATCCCTGCGTCGAAGGTATAAATTGGATATTAATATTTGATGAACTCGCTGGATCGCTGTCATGAACGGCGCAGCAGGAAAATGATCGGTCTTGTGATACCGGCTGATCTTTATTCACTTCAGAAATTTAATTGTCCGTTGAACAATTACGTGCAAGTAAATTCCCTGTTCCAAAGATTAGGATATTGACAGCTATGAGGACTATGAATTTTTTGTGGAAGATATTGTGTAATTTTAATTCTAATTTAATTTTATTGTTTAGTTTTACGAGGGTCGCTAAAAATTAATTACCCCTTGAGGCTGTGGTATAGTAACAGTTAGAAGTACAAGTGCGTTGGAAATTTTGTTTAATTTTTTATTTGGAAAAAAATCACATCATTAGACTAGCATTAATTATTAATTTCCTTAGGTGCGAATAAAATTTTGATTTCATGAGGATGCTGTAGATTCTGTTGCTTAGAAATATGTTTCGCGTTGCTGAAATTATTTTTAATTTTCGATTTTCGTGTGGATGTAACAACTAAATAAAAATCTACATAAAAATCCAAGAAATTACAGCAGCTCGTAGAGCGCGCAAAAGTTCGACAAATCCTTATCGAATCGGCTGGTCCGAATGACACACAGCCTAAAACCTATTTCCAGGAATTTATTTTCCAGAAAGCCGTCCTAAAAAAATAATTTCGAACACGATTCCGGAATAAAAAGGCTGCCGGTCGCCGGAAGTCACGCCTGTTAACTTCGTTCCGCGTGTTCGAGGAGCGGACCAGCCGAAACGTTATTGCCGGAGCGGAGATGACGGATCGCGAACGCGATGGCAAAAAAATGGGGTGAGAAAGTTGAAACCCGCTAACACTCGTTCCCGTGACTACTTGACCGTTCGAAAAACGCTGAACTTTTTACGAGGATGGGTCCCCGGACAGATAATATAACGCTTAAATATTTTATAATTCTTCGGGTACGCTTAGCCGTCTCGTCTCGGTCGAACGCCTTTTCCCGGCCACTTTTTCGATCATTTTTTTACGGGCCACCAACAAAACGGCTCGTTTCACATTTATGACGGTAGATCAGCGCGTCGATGTTTTATTTATTTTGTTTCATCCGCGTTACCCTCCACGATTGCCCGGCCTCGAGATTTTATGGATTTACGAATGGCAGGTATCTCGTTTCTTTAATTGCACGTCCCGCAATTATAAGCAACGCATTACCGGTCGTTAATAAAGTGTCTCGAACCGCTGTATTTTGTAACGAAACGTGTTTGCTGTTCGTGCCGCCGCTTTTATAGTACGAGGCGATAAGGGATGCCGGGGTCGCAAGCCGATCCCGAATCTTCCTAGCAGACTAATCCGGGATTAGTTGTAGGTGTCAGCGACGTTGCTTATTACGTTTCACGTGGACGAAGACGTTCCATCTTAATGGTTTTATCTGCCGAGACGCTCTCACTTTCAGGCTTAGAGCGAGATTGAGATCGATGCTCGTTTATTGTTCGTTCCGCCGTGTGTTCAGGGACAATTATTTACTTCGTATTTTCTACTCCGAAATCGTTGAAGTTGTTAGGACACTTTCGGTTCAATTCGCAAATGGTTCAATTATTAATTCGTTCGATTTTAATTGATTCATTCAAACATTGCCACTCACTTTGCACTATACGTCACTTTCAACGCTCGATTGGTCTACTATTAATTGCTACAAAAGCTTCCGTTAAATTTTCATAAAGTTGAATCAGCTTTTTAAATAAAGAAATAATACTTTTTAATCAATTTTGAAAGATCAAGTTTTGCAGTCGCCTTCAAACCTCTCGCGTCTCACGCGCAACAAGACGAATAAATTGTTCTCTTTGTTTTTATCGCGTCTCCAATCGTCTTCGCACTCTGCACTGCAACTGCAACGCGCATTAAATATTTTCACGAGCTTGGTAGTGACCAAGGAACAACGCTCGCCTTCCCGAACACATATTTACGTGGTCCAGTAATCCTGCACGGTCCACAATTCGTCGATGCTCGAACAAAGGGGAGCGTGGGCAGCACCGGATTCATAGATAAACCTCAATGGATTGTTAAGCCGGTGGCGTTTATACGGAATTATCTCGTCTCCCGGTAGCAATCGTTCGAAGAATTAATTGCCACCGGCACCCCAAACTCGTAGTTCCAGCCCGATCCCCGCAGCACATGTGCATCTCCGTCGTCGTTCTGCGAAAGCCACCCCCCCTGTTCCTCGCGATTTATCATTCTCTTTTCATCGAAGTAACGACTATGCATGATAATATTATCTTCTATCAACGATCTCACCCCCATTTCTCATTGGTAGTTTCCATCCGTTAATTACCTTCCTCTGTCGTAAAATGTTTCCCCAAGAGATTTCTCAAAATCACCCTACTTTCCAGGAACTAAAAGATATTGGAGGCTAAAAGATATTCGAGGAATAGTTCTTAATATCGGTTTTTAGTTTTACCGTGCAACCGTGTTTATTTCACTTTGCAATCCGTAATTTCACTTTGCGATCCCCAATTTCACTTTGCGATCCCTAATTTCGCCTCGCAGCCCCTAATTCAAGAACAGTCGTAGCGACCGGAAAATATTTAGGTTGCAGTAAACTTCAACGCTGAGCCTCCGATTAAAGCGTACCCTGCCATAAATGGACTAAGCAATGTTTCCGTGTTATTGGGCCGGAGGGGAGGGGGGCACGTGTTCGTGAAAATGGAGCAAAGGGCCGGGGATCCATTGGCAACGTCGACAGGAGGGGTGAAATAAACACAGTGATTGATTCGGCACTTCCATAGCTCGGACTGACGGATATTCGTGTCTTGGAAGAGCTATCGAGGATTTATTTAAAGTTCCCGCCTGCGGTTGCTCCGATTGGTCGAACGATTTTCCTTCGTCGAACGAGGCGCGATACAACGAACAATGAACAACGAAACCAAATATAACAGATACAGTCGAACTCGCCTATAATCGAATCCCATTACGAACTATTACTATTATTCATACAATCTATTATTCAAACGATATCGGGACGCAGCAGCGTGCTCGTAATTTCTGCTGGGTAAATACCATTAGCACCGTTAATTAGCATTGCGATTTATTCAAGTACGATTGCTCTAAGTCTATTCAGGTGTTTCATTAACGCCACGGTGATTTGGAAAAGGATGGAAGAACGCGATGATGAACAGTCCACAAATGATTCGTTAATGATCTTTAGGAAGGTCAATTATCATTACCATTTATTTAACTAGAATTATAACTTCGGTTAACACAGAATTCGATTGACGCTCCTTTAATAATACACCTTAGTGAGAACGTGACGAAAATGAAATTAAACCTAAGGTAGTAAAAATAATCGTCGAAATCAATATTAGTAAACAGCCACTAAACTAATAATATATATATATATAGTTCATATTGTATATAAAAAAGTCATACTCTTCGCGCAGGGTTATCCATATAATTTCGCTTTGTATTTCTGTTATGTCTTTCGGCGACAGACGGGTGACTAACTTAAGCTTAATAAATATCGGTCTGTAGTTGGCTGTGTTTATCTTAGCGCTATACGCGATCGTAGGACAACGACGGAATAAATTACATAATGGCACGTTTTACTGTACACGCTACTACCGGCTAATTACGCTCCTATTAGTTACACATTCGGATCCTCGCTTACCGTAATTCTTACATCTCGCGCAACGTTTCGGTTCACAGGTACAAGTTATTTCTTTTTTTTTATGTTCGCGTTCTTAGAACCAAAAAAACAAAAAAAAAAAAAAATTAACGCAGCTTGCGTGGAACCATGCACGACGGCGTTTCAACGACTTACGATCTACGCTACAGCCTAACGGATATTTGTACAGGATTTCATGCGACGCCTCGACACTGCGTGGCGGGCCCCTAACCATAGCTCCGAATTATATCAAATTAAACGCTACAGTCTTTGGATTACAATTCATTACAATTCAACACTTAGTGCACGAAGTGATCTATCGGCCGCTCGACGAGGAACCTTCAAAGATTGTACATTTATGCCTATATTTTACACGCGATTATGTACAACAGATCCGTTAACGATCCCCGCGGTATTACAACAACTCGTTTGGCGCGTCCGTTGCGCACGTACATTCTTACGCTCTTTCGGAGATGTCGTTTTTGTACGGCTGGAACAGCTTCGGCTGCTCGATCTTCGTGGCCTGGACGACGCTGGGCGTTGCGACGAGCCCTGCGTACGTACCCTTCCCATCGAAGCCGCCGATCGTCTGCATGTTGCTCGGCAAGCAGCTCGGCAAGCATGTCGGCAGCTTGATCGGCGAAGGGTGGCCGGCCGACGGCGGGCTGCTTTTCCCGAGGATCGTCTGGCTGTTCGGCTGGTGATGGAGGTGCTGCGTCCCGACGCAGTCGCAGTCGCTGGAAGCGTCCGAGTGATCCGGGCTCAGCTCGGGCAGCAAGGTCGGCCTGTAGGTGGTCGCGGCGCTCGTGGGTGGGCTGTTCATCTGGAAGGCGGTATTGTCGATCGTAGGAACGCCCAGGCTCGGCAGGTGCAGGGGCGGCAGCGATGGGTGATGCTGGAGGAGATGGGGGTGCGCCGGGTAAGCGGCCGCCGTTCGCGGATGCGGCCTGTGAAGAGACGCTCCGCTGCTCGTCGGCACCACCGCGGCGGTGTAAGGCGAGTACCTGGCCGCGTAATAGGCTGCCGCAGCGGCCGCCGGGTAGTTCGGTGTCATGTGAGTCGCCTGAAGACCTGGCCCGCCGTGGTAAGGCGGCGGCGGCAATGTAGCCGTGGCCGCTGCTAACAGGGTCGCGGCAAGGGTTGGATCCGTGTACACGGCGTACGGCCACGCCATCGCCATGCGCTGACGTTTGTCCTTCATTCGTCGATTTTGGAACCAGACCTGAAAGCAGAGAAAACGTTTCTGATCAGTTCGCTGCGGATTTTGTGACAATGAACGGGGTAGAGGCACTGGGAGAGTTAAGCGACTTTTGGGGAAATGGCAAATTTTCTTTGCATTTTCAGCCCGTTGCTGCGGGCTTTCGGAGTTTTATTGTGTTCACCGATGTTTAAGCAATGTTTAAGCAATTTCATATATTTTTGGGTGTATGTATAGACAATAGTTTGCGTCGAAGTAACATATATTCCATAGATACCATTCTCGAGCGAAAAATTGAGTCACTGTAAGTGGACGATCTCAGCCGCATCGCCGGTTACTGTGCCATCCAATTACTGTGGCTGAGAGCGACCTCGTAAAATAACCTTGACTGTAGCTTATAAGAAGCATTAGAAACGAAGAAAGTAATTCTTACGGTATTGTTTCTCTTCGGCTTCCCATATGAATTATAAAAATTTCCATGTTTCGAGCATCCCTCGTGATACCATTGATAACTCCTCGCATATTCAAGCTAATCCGTCGTTTACTAGGCGGCCGCGGTGCTCTTCATCTTCCAGGACAAAATTTCCAGCTCGAAATGTCTTATGCCAATCGCGGACGGTCATAATAATCGTAGCACAACTCACGCGAACGGTACAAAAATCACGTCTTCTGCACTATTCCTTTGCACTATCACCTTTTCTTTTTTAAAGCAACGAAGCATAACCCGCCGCAAATGCTTCCCTCGGCTATCGACATCGAAATGCACAGAAAAATGTTTGAAAAAAGACCGCGCTACCTATGGAACGTACTTCGAAAGAGCTGCTGAACAACCGAAACCGGTGCCACGCACGGCTAATAGATGAGGCTAGTAGATAAGCTTTATATAAACACAGCCGGTTAACGTTGTTCCTAGGGTGGTGCGAAAGACAGAGGCAGAAGAAACGGGAAGACAGAGGCAGAGAATTTTTATTTCGCACGCGAAGAGACTCGCAGTCTTCCGATTAGCGAGAAGCTGGCATTTTGTTAGAGTCTCATCAGCCGCCGAAAATAAGGGAGAGATTTCGTCAGATTTTCTAGCAGTTCTCGAGAGACTCCTTCGGTGAAAAAGTGATGCGGAACGATGACAGTCGCTTCGCGCAAACGGATGAAACTTGCGCAAAAGTTTACGATCCGAATAAACGTACTCGGTTCGAACGAAAGTCCGAATATATCCAATTCGCGAACAAGCGCACGGACATTCGAATTTCGTTTTTACTGCGACCGTCTCGTCGCGGAGCGGGGAGGACGAGCGGAACGATAAGGAATCGAAACACGGCCGCCGAAAAAGTGGATTTCGAGGCGGCGCGCGGCGGGCCCGCGTCGTTTAACACCTCGATCATTCTTTTTTCTTTTTTTCTTCCTCTCCATCGGCAGGCGTTTTATAGCCATTGTACAACGCGGTGGCCGCGCGAGATGAGAAATTAAGGGATCCATTAAAGTCAAAGGTGGCCCGGGAAAACCGCTAATTAAAGTGATTAACACCTCCGACCGGATCGACCGGTCGCGGTCGAAAGATATTAAGAAGTCACGGGAAAAGGATCAAGGGGATCGAGGCGAAGCGAAGACCAAGAGAGACCAAAGAGTGTTTGCCTTTCGTGATTGACTGTTTGCTCGGCTCTGCGGGACAGAGAGAGAGAGAGAGAGAGAGAGAGAGAGAGAGAGAGAGAGA